TAGAACAAACTTGTGTCAAATAATGATTTTGGTGAAAACTCACTATTTGGTTAGAAAAGAGTAGCTCAAAATTTGGCGGTGGTTGCTGTTTAGCTGCCTTCCACTTAGTCTATCAGTACAAAATTAGAGACGGCCATATTCAGATAGCCTTTCGTGTAGCTTTGCGAGACGATTCTCAAACAAACAAAATGGCGTTTTATTAAAGAGTTTACTCAGTCTCAGCGTCGTTCTAAAATGTCTCCAAAGCTCAATAAACAGTAATAAACAATAGGGTAAGGTCGAATGTAGCAAAATATCCAGAGATTAACTAGTTAATAAGGATACGAAGTTTTTAAAAAATAGCCAATTATTTAAGATGTTAATAAATGGTTTAATTTCTAAGAAACATAAAGCGATAATTTCAAGAGACCTAACTTCTTTGTCTATTCGTGGACAATTTGGAGCCCAAAAATTCAACATGAACTATTATCTGTCACTCTTTTAGCGCACCCACTACTTCAAAGTGCGGAGCACGTTTTTGAGGAGACGGGCCATTAACTCGTTTTGTCATTTCTTTTCTAGTGAAACAGTTTAAGGGACAAATGGCTTATTTTCAAACTGTATCAAGTGTATTAGAATCTTAGCCTAACTTATAGCAATTAATGTGAACAGACAACTAAAGACTGGCTGTGCGTGATGTGTAAGATTTGTATCTAAAATACTCTTTTGAAGTTTAAGACATATATGGACATGGATTTCGTGGTGAACTTGATGAAACGATCACTTATTAACAGACCCCTTGCGAGCCAGTGGTGGACAATTTTGCTGAAACACAAAAACTACCAAATCCGGTTTTTCTTAATTTTAACTGAAATTATTTCGACATTTTTATTGATTAAAAAGAATGCATTTCCCGCTCTCTTTTAGTGTTGGGGCTGCGAAAATTGATTTGAAGTGATAAGGTGACTGAAATTCGTCAGCGCATCACGAGTTTAATGGCCAAGCACAGGAAGCATGGAAGTCTCCAAATTACACGTAGAGGTATTCAGGAACCGTTTAGAGTCACCTTAGTAGATATTGTGCAGCAAGCCGAGAACAACATTATGCCTGTAGCTGCTTTCCAAGTGTTCCAGTCTACTCATCCTACTGCTGACTATCGTGATGCTTCGATCTTCCCTACCGAATCGCATGTGAAATCATTCGTA